GTTAGGAATCTTTCAATTTCAAATAGCAAATATCTTACCTAAACAGTCTTAATTTATTTTTTTATTATTAAAAATGTTTTTATTGATTTTCAAGAGAGAAAGGAAAGAGAAATAGAAACATTGATATGAGAGAGAAACATCGATCGGCTACCTCCTGCATGCTCCCTACTGGGGATCAAGCCCGCGACCCGGCATTGCCCCGACTGGGAATTGAACAGGGACCTCTCAGTCTGTGGGGTGACGCTCAATCCACTGAGCCACACTGGCCGGGCCTAAACAGTCTTAATTTAAAAGATGAGGATTTGCTCCACTTCATACTAAGACCAGAAGTCTCTCTGGTGCCAAGTGGACCTCGTCTTGGCAGTAGCACTGTGATCTGTTTCCGGGTCTTCCCCTTCATCTCGCACGCTTCCTGAGCTGGGCTCTCCTCTCTCGAGGCCAAGCAGCTTCTCACGACTGCCCCAGCTTTGCAGCCACGCTCTCTCTTTTTCATGAGTTTTGGGAAGGAGAGAAACTCCGTCTTAGACATGTACTTTGAACTCTGGGTAAAGCTTTGCCTGAAGCTAGATGAACAAATAATTACCCTCTTTTGATGAATCACGTTTGGTTGTGGTCTTCTGTGTCATGTACAACATAAAGGTTTCCTGTAAGCGTCCAGGTCCCCGGTTGCCCAAGGTTCCCTAGCCTCCGTTGTCAGCTCTGGTTTGGAGGAAGTGTTGTTTGAGAAGTATTTCCGCTTCCTGTCCTCATTTCGCATTTGACTTTAGCTCATGTCATGGTTTTGAAGCTTTAGCTGAGAGCCCAGAGCAATTTTTCTCTCCTGTCCTCACTTTCACTTTTCCCACCGAGTCCATGCAACATGATGTAATGAGGTTCTCCTAGGTACGTGAATTATTTACATCTTAAAGTTAATTTTTTCAAATGCTTAACCTGAAAGCTGACAAAGCCAGACATCACGGTGAAGGGCTTTACGTTTTTCAGTAAGTAGTTTTCAGTATTTCTCCTGAAATCCCAGGAAACTTCCAATTAAGTTTTTCAGTTTATCTGTGTCAAGGGGCTACGTGTGCCCTGGGTTGCGTCTTCCGAGGCGTCTGGGAGCAGCTTCTCGTTACAGATTCCGCACCGGGACGGAGTAGGTTTTCCCTCACACGCATGGGAATCCTCCACTGCCACGGACCTTCACTCCACAGCGGCTTGGAAGGAGATGCTCTGTGCTGGCAGCGAGCTGGCCTCCTGTCCTCCCAGCCTGCAGCAGAGCATTTCCACCTTGCAGACTCTTCGGGAGGCTTCTCCCTGGCTCATCTCACTTTCCTCGGGATAGTCCTTCAGGAGGGTTTCCAGATGCTCTACAGCTTACGCCACTTGGAAACCTGTGCAGAAAAATTATACAGAGTCTGCCCATAGAAGCTTCTGCCTTCCAGAGGGATCATTCTCAACAGCAGCTCTGATCTATCAGAAGTCTCGAGTGTCTGTCCCTTATGTGGGTCACAAAGCACTCCGTGCCCTGGCCTCTCCCCACCTCGCTAGCTTCTTTTCTTGCAAATCCCTGTCATGCATGATACTCTTGCAGCTCAGCATCGATTGTGTTCCTCTGCACCTGCCCGCTATTCCCCTCCTGTGTCTTCCCAGGCTCACACTTTCCCATCTCACTTCTGGCTCCCTCCAGTTTACAAAACAGATTCATGGAATCTGAAAACAAAGCAAACAAAACAAGAACAGAGACCACAGTGATGGTTACCTGAAGGGAAGGGATGGGGGATGAGTGAAAGGGGAAGGAGACTGTAGTCAGTAATGTGATGTGTCCACGGTGACAGACAATGACTAGAATTAGTGGGGGAATCACCATTTAAGGTATACAAATGTCAAATAATTATAGTTGGTGCCTGAAACCAATATAACCAATATATAATTTTATATCAACTATACTGAAATAAAAAACATAAATAAAAAATGACAGATTTTCCATCCATACACTAAATGTCATAGGTGAATCCAGGGCAGAGAAAGTACCATTAGGCTTCATATAACAGCTGATCATCTGTAATTTCCGGGTCTCTCCTGCCTTCAGATCTGTGACGTGGATAGGAAGGGACCTACCTAAGCCTCTCTAGGTGTGGGGTTCAGGGAGCAGAGAAAATCATTTGGAGGGCCAGAGTCTTAGAAATCTCTGTGCTTGGCCAAAGAAATAGGGCTATTTTTTAATGTGTGGTGATGATGAATATATACTTACATATCAGGGAAATTATTGACACACAATATTAATGGTGTTTATTAACTATGGTATGAAAATTCAAACGATATGTTTTGATTAAAACTGCCATCTCTTCCTTCATGCTCAAACTTCTTTGTTTCATCTCTAACAGTGGTTGCATGTAGCTTTAAAAGTGTAGACAAAATATTTGATGGCATTGATCTGTTATTGAGTGGAACTAATTTTTTCTATAAACTATGTAGCATAAAAAATCAAATTGATGAATTTGGGACGGGGGTGAGCATTAGACATTAAAACCTTACATTTAAACTTCGCTTCTTCTTAATTTATAAAATTTTAATTTTAATTATGGTACAGCTTTGACCTCTGTAACAGTTTGGTGAGCGGGAGCTGGGAATGTACCAAACACTGGGACTCTTAAAAGCTTTTCAATGTTCCGGAGGCTTCAAGGCAAGTAGGAGCCTCTGCGCGTTTCCAAAATAACACAGGGCAAGAGTAACCACTGGCAGTTGTTATGGATAATTACACATGGATTTCATTGAGAAAGTGAGCAACACTATACTTGTGCAATAAAAAATTTATCAAACCTACAGCTTCCCTCTTCCCGCCCCAGCCCAAGGAGGAAACAAGCTTTCGGTGGAACATTATTTTAATGAGCAGATTTCAAAGGTGCTGGATTTATGGGAGACATCGGGAAACACTGATTGGAATTACCGTCTCTGTTTGTCGTTCATGACTTGATTGGTGCCACATTGAGAAGAGTGTTAGGATGGAAGTTAGAGGGAAAGTAGGCAGCCAGCCTGTTAGCCTATCAGGATGACCACTTATTACCCAATGGTATTGAAACTGCCTGAACATTGTTGTCTTTATAGCTGAAATCATGTTTTTTTTTTTTAAAAAGTTGAGTTATAGATGATTTGATCAGAGGACAGAAACTTATGGATGGATACCTAGGTTATTTCTGATCTTTTGCTCTTATAAACACTGCTACAATATATATCCGTGCTCAAAGTCGTTTTGCAATCTCTGCAGGTAGAAATTTTAGTATACATTCATAAAATTGGACTTGTGGAATTCCTCTAAGTTCAAAGGGTTTTTGCGTTTGTAATTTTGATAGGTATTGCCAAATTGTCCTCTACAAAGGTTACAAGTGTGCCACTTTGCTAATACTATATTTTATCAAAGTGTTTGATATTTTCTGATCTGATAGGTGAAAAATATCTATTGTGGCTTTACTTTGAAATGACATAAATATGTTTGCATATCCTTTTTATGTTTACAGACTCATTTTATCTCCTTTTAAGTATTTTATCTTCTTAACTTTTAGCCATTATTCTACTTGATTATTGATGTTTATCATATAACGTACAGAGAGCTGGTGAAACTTGCTTATTCATGTTTCCATGTGAACTATATAATCAGCTTGCCTAGTGACCAACCCTATTCACCTGAGAGTCAGTCCTGTTGGTGTTTTTACTGTGTTCGTGTCAAATTTATGGATGAATTTGGGGAGAACTGACATTCCCTTGATGTTCAGTCTTATTTCCCAAGAATATAATATGTCATTACATTTGTTTAAATATTTTGTGTGTGTCCTTTAATAATGTTTTAAAGTTTTTCTTCATATAGACAATGCTCATATGAGAATCTTACTAGGTATTTTTTATAAGCATACTTGGTAGCTAGCACTTTCTTAATTCACCTATTGCTTGGGATATTTTATTCAGGTTGATTTGCAGATAAGTAATCATGGCATTTGCAAAAGAATGTTTTTCTTATTAAAACATTTATTACCTCTTTTTGCATCTAATTAGGGTTCCTCTGTTATGCCACTCCAGAGATCATCATCATGTTGGCCATTCCTCCCTGAATAATGATGAGTCACTGTAGTGATAAAGGACATTGTTTTCTAATTCCTAACTTTGGGAACATTTCTTTCGAAAATATGATGTTGGCTTTGAGGTTGAGTAGATCTTTGTTTTAGCATGTTAAGGAGCTAGCCACCTATATCCATTTTATTAAGGTTTTCATTATGAAAGGATATATTTTATTGAGTACTTTTGTGTATTCTGGTGACTCATGCTTTTTTTGTGTATATTGACCTATTCTTGTATTCCTGAAATAAGTTCTACTTTGTTGTGGACTGTTATTTTTATAATATGATGCTGTGTTTGAATTCTATTTTCTTATGTTATATTTAGGGATTTTGTACTGATTATCAGATGTGAGACCGGTTGATTGTGTATGTGTGTGTGTGTGTGTGTGTGTGTGTTTGGATACATACTAGTCTATCTCCAAGAAAAGAATTTGGAAACTTTTCTATTTCTATGCTCTTAAACAATTGAAAGTGTATTGAATTACTTCTTAATTGTTTGGTAGTATTCTCATTTGTAATTCTCTAGGCCTGTGTTTTCCTGAGAGTTTCTTGACAACTTTCTCTTTATCTTCTGTGTCTTATTTAGCTTTTCTACTCTTCTGGGTGGATTTAGTTATTAATATATTTCTAAAAACTAACTATTTAATCTAGATGTTCTAACTTATTTGCATGGAATTTAACCAAATAATCTTTTTTTTCCCTTGATACCTGTGGTTATTTCCTCACTATGTTAAAATTTTTTTATTAAGAAATAAACAGCATATTAAAAATATTCTCAAAATTATTTATTTTTAAAAATATGATATAAAAGAAGGATATTTTTATTAAAACTTCAGTTATTCCTAAGGTAACTATGATAGTACCCAGAACTTGAGATGGAACCTTTCTGATCGCTCTCTTCTCTTTGGACAGGCCCCGAAGAGGGAAGTGAGGATGATCCTCAACTGGAAGGCAGGGATCCTGACGTTTGGCATGTTGGTTTCAAGATCTCCTGGGACATAGAGACACCTGGCTTGGCAATACCCCTTCACCAAGGAGACTGCTATTTCATGCTTGGTAATTGGAGTTTCAAAGCCCTATTGATGCTCTGTTGTCTAAGTTTTACATTATTGGGTACATATTTTGAATATGTCTTTTGAAATAAATTTTTCAAGTATTTTTTTTTAGAAGTTCATGGTTTTGTTTTTTAATGTTGTTTTTTTTTTTCTCTTTATTGATTTTAGAGAAAGAGGAAAGGAGAGGGAGAGAGAGAGAGAAACATTGATGAGAGAGAACATCGATTGGCTACCTCCTGTGTGCTCTCCACTGGGGATCAGGCCCACAACCTGGGCACGTGCCCCGGCTGGGAATTGAATTGGTGAGCTCTTGGTGCATGGTTTGATGCTCAACCACTGAGCCACACCAGCCGGGCAACTTTTCAAGTATTTTATAGTGACAATGAAACTTATACATGTAACTAGTTTATTTGTTTGCTTTTTGAGATACTGCTAATTTTTAAAAGTTACTTTTCTTTCTCATTGTTTCTGGAGTCCTGCAAATGTTCTAAACAATTCTCAGGAGTCTTCATCAGAGCCACTAAATCATCTAAAACAACTTATCATCATGAAGTTTTAAAAATATTTCCCTGTCTGTATAAGTCCTTGGTGAGAATGAGTGTCCTGTAGTGTTTCCGGAAGCCGTGCTTCACCTGTGGTTTGGTGAACTGAACCTGTGCAGTTCGGGGAGCTGTGTTTTTGCTTCTTTACTCTGAGTTTAGTGTTTTGTTTTGGGCGTTCTCGTTGTTTTCCGATGTACAGTATCCTCTTTTACTCCTCAAGCTCTCAGGGTCTGTGCTCTCCTTGGCTGTAGCTGTTGCTTATCCTGGGCTTATTTCACTCCTGCCTGCTGGGGTCCACTCATGTGCTGGTCATGGAGCCAGGAAGCACTGTGGCTCGAATGCAGTATTTATGATCCGATTATTTCCCAGTTAATTAAGTATTTTTAGTGGACCCACTATGTTCTCCAGACTGCATAAGGTTCTGGAGGAGATACTGGGGATGGATAAACCTTGGTCCTTGCCTTCTAGGAATTTGGGTTTTGCAATAGCTCTTTAGGCCGTTACCTCGTGAAGTATTCTCCAAACGTCCGTCCTTCGCACGCCAGCTTGGGTTCTTGCCGTATCCACATTGCACCTTACCGCCACTACCTGATGTTTCTCTCTAAATGGACCCAGCTCGTTTTCATGGAATGACTTTATTTTAGTGGGAGGTTTTATATTACTATTTTAGATGGAAAGCCAGTATCTCCTCGCATAACTAGAAATTTTCATGAATCTGTAAAGTAAAACAGTATTAAGTGTCTGCATTTTTTTTTTTTTTTCTTTTCCGAAGATCCTGAGTCTGAGTCCCATTCTGTCTTTAAAAGGGAGATCAGTGACTGTGAGAGAGGAGTTAACTCTGTAATGGTACCTCCCAGAGATTTTCTCCTTGACGTCGGCAGGAAGACGGGAAGGTCATTTTGTAGGGAATGACCTTCTCACAGTGGGACTCCCTGGCATTTAATGTTGTGTCCCTCTACCTCTGAAATTCTTCTCCCGGGTTGATTCCTGCATTTGTCGAACACTGATCTAAGTAAGCCCTAAACCTCATGCCTTCCGTCGGCACATCGCTGTACAGTTCACAAGTCAGTGTCACGTAAGCAATCTCATTCAGTCTCCAGACAGCCGTGCAGGGACAGTGCGGGACTGTTTTCAGTTACTGTGAGGCAGGTCAGGGATCAGAAGGGGTTTCAGGTTTCATATACAGATGGTCCCTGACTTAGGATTGTTCGACCTCTGATTTTTTTGGCTTTATGATGAGGTGGAAGCAATGAACATTCAGTAGAAACCATACTTGGAACTTTAAATTTTGACCTTTTCCCTGGCGAGCATTACGCAGTGCTGTACTCTCTGGCGATTCTGCCCACCGGGAGGCTACTGTCAGTGCCCTTAGCACCGTTAAGGTGGGCGGGGCTGAGTGGCAGTGGTCAGCAGGTTACGTGTATTCAAGGCGTTTTCACCTGCAGTGGTTTCAGCATGCCTGGGCCTATCCGAAGGCACCCTTGCAAGTGAGGAGCTCTGTACAGTGCTTTCCCCTCTGAACTGGACCACTTGGACTTGACCCTCATTCACTAAACTCTCTTTGTGGGGATGTTTTTAGGGGTAAGGTCATCTTCCCTGCCTCTCCCGTTTGCCTCAGGAATGAAGTTTCTATTCTGAAGTCTCTGCCCCATTGTTGAGTATCATTTGTAGGTAAAACAGATTATTATCTCATTTTTTAATGTACCACCCAGATATGGATATTTACCTCGAGTATAAATAGGTGTTCATTTAAGCCAATAAACCACTTTCCTTTGGCTACTTTGTTCAGGAGTTTCTATTAGCAATTTGCATCATTAAAATAAATGACAGAATGGTGCCATTTTATATATATTTTTTCTTTTATTCATTTAGAGGGAGAGAGGGGAGAGAGATAGAAACATCGATGAGAGGGAACATTGATTGGCTGCCTCCCGCCTGCCTGGCACTGGGGATTGGGCCCACAACCTGGGCATGTGCCCTGACCAGGAGTCGAAACGGCAACCTCTTGGTGCATGGGGTCAACACTCAACCACTGAGCCATACCGGCTGGGCAGAATGGTGTCATTTTAATAGCTTTATTAATTTCTGCTTATAAAAGTAGTAAATGCACATTGTAAATAAATGTTCAGCTATCTTCCACTTATTTATTAACATCTTGTGTGTTCTTTTCTAATTAAAAAAAGTGATGTATTCTCATTCTAGAGAAAAGAAACTCTGAAAAATATAAAATGAAAGAAGACTTAAAAAATCACCTTCATGCCTGTTTCAGTATACTCCACTTCAGTCTTTTTTTCTACCCCTACACATGTCTGGAATAACAGTAGTGTGTGAGCACCAGCCGCATTTACCGGGGACGAATTCCAAGTCCAGCACCCTTCAGTCCCCTCAGGAACCTAAGAAGTAGATCTCAGCTGCGCTCGAAAGAAAACTTCAGGTCAGGTTGATGCAGTGACTCAGCCATGATTGCACAGCTACTCAGAAGCATGGCCTGGACCCTGTCATCTTAGCCCGCTCAGGCTCTGCCACTGCATGTCGGGCCGTCCCCCCTCCTCCCTTGCGGGCGCTGACCCCTGCTCTGGGCTCCCGTGCCCCCCCTCCCCAGCCTGGTGCCCATGCCTCAGGTTCTAGGACTGAATTGTTCAGGAAGAGAACAAAGGAAGATGATGACAACAGTCTGCTTCTTTCTTTTCCAAGTTATGTGTTTTTTTTCATGCCTCAGAAGTAGATTAAGTTACTTCTGAGGCATGAAGAAGTAGGTTAAGTTAATAATATTAAATAATCCTATTGTCCTTTTGACGTATGTGTTTCAATGCATATACATTTTAAAATACACGTTTGGTCCCTTTAGCTGTTGTAGGCGATTAAGAGAAGAAGCGAGTGTTATTTTATAGGAGCTGATAGCCCAGACACAGTTTCTAATCCTGCCTTCGGATACAGGGGAGATGGCTGGGACCTGCTGACCCAGGCCAAGCACAGCACAGCGTATCCAAGGTTTGCATCTAGAATATATTTTCGTATTAAGATGTCATAACGGATTTCTAAACTGAATTTTCCTCCATCTTCTCTCTTTTTTTTATCCCCACCCGAGGACATTTTTTCATTTTTTGTTCAGATAGAGCGGGAGGGAGAGAGAGAAACATTGACGTGAAAGGGACACATCGAGTGGCTGCCACCTGTATGACCCAACCAGGGCCGGGGACAAACTGCAACCAAGGTACGTGCCTTTAGCGGGAACCGAACCCAGGTCTCTCTGGACCGCAGGCTGACGCTCTAACCGCTGAGCCAAACCGGCCAGGGCTCCTCCATCTTCTTTTAAACAAAACCAACCAACCAAACAAAAAAAGCAGCCATGGTGAAATGCTCCCTTTTCTCTGCACTTTTGCAAATCCAAATACTATCAGGAGCCCCGAGGAGGGACCTCAGCCCTGCGCTGATATCTGAAATATGAACTTCATAGCACTTATGACAAGGAAACAGTTTAGCTCAATTTATAATAATATATTGGTCTGCAGAGGAAGCACGGGCTGAGCCCTGCTGTCTCAAGTAAATACTCGGGGGGTGTCTGATGGGGAACGAGTCGGGTGCCTGGAATAAATCCAGTGCCTGTGCGAGTGAGTGAAGGCCCTGCTGGCGGTGCCCGAGGACACGCTTAACTGGAGTTGTCACGGTTTTACTTTGAAATTGGAATCTTTGCCCTAATCTCAGAGTTAGACATGACCAGATTTGCAAACAGATTTACAATTTTCACTAATTTTCCAACCAGGACTTCAAAACACACTTAGAAAGAAAAAAAAATAGACTCTGGTCTTTTTCAGAGTAGGATGATTTACTTGGCCACAGATGTTTTCCATAGACTGAATGTAACCTGGGACTTAGGGACTTAAAGTGGCTTGCAGACAAACTGTATGTTTGTTTTCTGCGGGACAGATTACATAGTTCAAGGGACATCGACCCAATTATGTGTATTAACCAGGAGCCAGGCATGGAGGTGGGATGTTTCAGGACAGAGGTGAGTGCGAGGTAAACAGTTGGGGGTGAACCACCACCCCCCTTTAATTTATTATTATTACTTTTTACCTGTCACTATTCATGACTCCATTCTATCTCGTCTCTTTACCTGTGTTTCCTTAAATCCAACTGAATCTCATTACCAATTACCTGTTGTTACCATAACGATCAGCCACTTTTTCAGTTGCCCAGTAAAAATTCCACTGCAAAAAAGAGAAAAAAAGCAAAATCAGTTGAAATGCATAGTCTTTCTTTTTGGGTTTTCCTTACTGCACCCACAGTTCGGGGTGACACACTGAAGGGTCGTGGCATTTCTGTCGGGGGAGCAGGTTCCAGACGCCCTGCACCATCTGTGGGGCTGGCACGGCCAGCAGTCTCCGAGGCTCTGCCTCCCCTGTCAGACCAGAGCCGATCCTCCTCCGGGGTGTTGTCAGGCCAGCACGAGGTTCGG